AATGGTAGCCAAGGAGGAATTGGCTCTTGTGATGGAGTTTGGTGTGCTATTTGATCCCCATCCTGAGAAGAGAGCAGCTGCTACCTTGTGAGCACTCCCAACCAGAAGAATACAGTGGGGTGAAGAGAATCCTTGCCAGTGGCAAGTAATAACAAACTCACTAAGGGAAGCAGAACAGGAGTGATCAAGGAAACCCCACTTCATTGAAGAATCACTCCACATCTGGTTTCAGCCTTTAGATGAATGCATCTCTACTGAATAGGCATTTAGCTGCCCAGCATTCAGTAACTAGCTGGCACCAAAAAACAGTGGCAAATGCTAAAAAAAAAAAATTGTACCTGTCTGTGGGAGGGGCACACTGTTAACAAAAGGCCTGGCCTTAAAGGGTCACATGGGCACAGGGTAAAAACTGAAGGGTCAGCTTATGAAGAACACCATGGAGAAGAACCAGAAGACAAATTAAAAAGAGTATCTTCTACAGCAAAACAGATTGGCTATTCTGAAATTGTTGTATTCTCAAGTTCTTGAACCCCAAGAGATCAGAAAAAAACATTGGTTGCTTGCCATATTTTGAAGAGTTGATTGATGAGATGTGTCTGCATAGTCTGTAGTAATCCAGGACATTGTAGCATATGGTTCCTAAATATTTTTCCCCATACTTCCTTTAACTCACTAGCGACGGTACATTTATAAGTCGAAAATAATATTTTTGACTTCAAAATTGGCGTGGAGGTGAGTCCAGCAGCCTGCCCTCGCACCACCTCCCAAGGGCAACTAAATCAGAGCGCGAACTCTGATCTGGCATCGCACCAGCGGGACGCCTGGCAATATATAGTTTTCCGGGTGTCTTGTATGTGGGACACCCATCGTAAGTGGGGTAACCCATTTAGGACAGGTGTTCCACATATGAGACACCCGGAAAAAAAAAAATTGCTGGGCATCCCGCAGTGTGACGCTGTATCGGGGCTCACGCTCCGACTCAGTAGTGGGCCGTGGCCAGCGCAGGCAGAGTCAGGGCCAGCCCTGCGCGCCGATTTTGTAGCTGCCCAGAAACTTGTATTTTCTGCTTCAAAATATACCAGCGTTATTGGGTTAAGGAGGCAATCGCAATGAATTTTCGTCAAATATTCGAAATTTTGTAAAAAAAAAAATAAATAAATAGATAAATAATAATAATAATAATAATAATAATAATTAATAATAATTAATAATAAATAAATAAAATAATTAATAATAACAATAATAATCTGTAATATAGTAGGCTTTGGCAATCCTGTGATGTAATATTTTTGGTAAATATGTAAAGATAAAGGAGTTATGACTAAATATCTGACCCCCCCCCTCCTGCCTCTGGCTCCGTTGTTTACTTTGTTGCTTCCTGCAAATGTACTTGACAAATTTGTGTTTTGGATTTTTTGAAATTTATTTTGGTAGTCTCTGGTAGATAGCTGGCAATTCTGCTTACTCTCTAGCTGATAGCCACGACAAAGAGAGAAGGTGGGCAGTTACTACAAGAGAGTCAAAGAAAGAGGCTGCACATAGCCAGCCCTCCACAACACCATCCCATAGATGTACCCCTGATGTGCCCTCATCACACACTAACAGGACACTACTAATGATAGATGTTATTCCTGTAAGTAATAAACATAATATGATGAGAAATACATCTCAATCACAGCTGCAGCAGTTGTTTATTCGTATGAAATGCCTCACAAGGTACTGCAAAGCCTGTGAAGTCACATGGTACTTCTACAATCATGTGCAGTTATTGCCATTAGTACCTTGGAAGAAGGGGGGGACCAGGTACCAGCTACACTTGAGAATGCCATAGAATGCATCAAGACTGACGGAGATCAGATTTATATAAAAAAGTAATAATAATGATAATGGCAAAAATAAAAGGGGGTGGGGAGGAATAAGTATCCTCAACTCAAAGCCTGATATCTCAAAACTACTCCTTTCTCAATATTTTTAACCCATTAATGCTGGTATATTTTGAAGCCAAAAATAAAAGATTCTGGGTGGTTACAAAACGGCAAGCTGCTGCATCGGAGCACGAGCCCCGATACAGCATCACACTGGCGGGACGCCCAGCAATGTTTATTTTATGGGTGTCTCATATGTGGGACACCAGTCGTTAGTGGGTAACCATCAGCGACGGTAAAATTTTGTCAAGTTTACGTATGCACCGGCTTGTTGGCGCACACTGGCAGTTTCCCTTGTTTGCACCCGGCTCGATCGGTAGTTTGCGAGCGACATATAGCACCTAAAACCTTTTATTTTGCTATAATTTATAAAAATATTAAAATTTTGAAGGTTTACCTTCACTTTAGGTGCCATTGCCTAAAATCTTTACCATATAAATGAAGCCACTACTAGTGGAGAAAAACAACCTCCTTCCGACGAGCCAGTAGCGCGGGAATGGGCATGGCATGATGCCCCCGGCATTTGGTCCACAACAGCCATGGCATGTACATACGTGATACCCAGCGCCAATGGGTTAAGGAATCTCCATAACTACATGGGCAATTCTAATGGGGTTTGGATCATTATAAAGCTGAAAAAATTAGCAATTTTTGCAACAATGCAATTTTTATTTCAGGTGATAAAAGCCCATATAGTATATTTTATATTCATAGCAGTGAACATTTTTAAAAAATCAAACTAAGAGGAAATTTCAAAAGCTGAATCATTATAAATTTAGGTACTGATACAGAGTATGTGGTATTTTTTTCAACAAGTTCAGCCAATGGATAAGTAAGATACATATTTTTTTAATGATTTTTCAATTTTTTTTTTTTTTTTTTTTTTTTAATAGTTTCATTGTTTATTATCCAGTGATATAAAACTTTGTGATGTAAATTGTAGTATATGTATATATAACATATTAAAAAATCGCAAAAATCTGATCATGATTAACAGACTTCGTTTTCGAGTGCAATGGCCCCCTTAACCTGACCTGTATCTCCAAACTCCCATCTCACATTAGCTGTATAGCAAATGGAATTTAAAGCCCAAACATAAAATATGTTAATAGTCTTTAGTTAGTAAAGAATTCCAAATATGTACCAAATTCTGTACCTCACAACACTTGTTAAGATTATAATTTATTAGATAAATTTTTCTTCTTGGAACCTACTCCGATTTAATAGCTATGACTTTAGACCATTGTTCATTTAGAACCTTAGATTTTATATTCCCTTTTCCAGATTACAATCAAGCATACCTGCCAGGGAAATTGAAGGCTTTCTTAGCAGATTTGTACAGTGGGAAACTTCACCGAGAATTTCACTATGGCCCAGATCCTGAAACCACAGAGGAACCGCAGCAGGTATGACAGTACACCACATCTGTTTCTTACTTAACAAATATATATTGTCTTCTGTACGTGCCATGAAAGTTGACCTATAATCCAGAGCTCTCGTGGCAGCATCCAAGATTTTAATACATCTCCGGACCAGCATTAACTTTTAAGGGGACTGAGAGAGGGGGTGGAGGGGGTTAAATTAAGATAGTTAGCGTATAGTATAGGTACATGGATGAGGAAACTACCAAACGAGTATTAACCGCCTGCTATGGCTCGTTGTCTTGCAGCCGGCGCGAGTCCCTCAGCACCCGGAGAGGTACGTCGCTATTGAGCGCCCAGGTACACCTATGTGGACTTTTGCTTGCGGCAATCGTGCATAAGGCATTTAATTATGACATTGCGCATAGATATGAGTTCGTGAATGTTCAAGGAACACTTTTATACCAATATCAGGAAAAATTATATCACCGTGATTTATGACGAAATATTTTGTGAAATATATCTAAAAAAAATGTATGTTTTGTGTCCTTTTACACACGAAATATGCTTTGATCGAGACTCCCTGGTAATATGTTTTAGTTTACGTGGTAATATATACGTATATCACATACGAAGCACTATGTTTAAAAATAGCCTTATAAGGAAGGATTGAAATATTTCCGTTACATTTCGCTCAACGGTCGGTACATCACAGCAGGGGGCAATTTGAATTGATTTGAAATTGGTAGTTACCGTTGTAAAGACCAATTCAATACGAATGTTACCTAAATGTCGGATTTTTAAACTTCGGATGTATAAGCGAGATACAGATTATTTCATGTTGAAGATGATAGTACTCAGTAATACCTGCTCTGAAATAAAAACTATATGGAATTTTGAGATCGGTTGTATGCGTAGTCTTCGTCTGGCGTTCAAAAAGCTATCGCATCCGTTTCGTGCGTTCCCGATAAAATGAATATGTTTAGACGTTACCGTAAGTCTTAGGCACCATAAATTGGCAAATATCCCACAAACATAGGCGTCTGCATGATTTTATGCACTTCTTAGTAAAGATAATGGGTGCAAATGGCTAATCATAAACTTTACACTTGTTCTCCTTGCAATCTGTTAATATTGACAATTATCAAAGAAATGGGTATGAGAGGGATAACTAATAAATTTTATTATTTAGATATGAAAGTCAATGTAGGCCTACTAAATGATGATGATTAATCTTTTTAACTTTATGTGCGTGCGTTCACGTACATATGATCCTCCGAAAATTATAAACACCCAGTGACCATCTCCCCTCCCCCCCCTGTGTGAGGCATGGGGAATATTCAACGACTTTCGTAAGTTCTCGAATTCAATGTACTAAATTCATATGCTTTTGAAATTCTCAAATTGAACCACCATGTTGTATTCATGCCAGGACTTTATAATTAGAATGATTTTGTACTAATGTTGCCATCACAGTTCCCATTTCTTCAAAAAAAAAAAAATAAAAAAATAAATGGAAAATAAAAAAATATTTTTTTTAAAGGTTTTTATCTGGTTTAGATTAGTTGTCTCTATGGTAAAATGCATTTATTAAGCTTTTCACACGAAAATATCAACTTTAATGAACAACGAAAAAAAAAAAAAAAAAAAAGTGACATACCTTTACAGAATAGCGTCCCTATTGAACATGAAAATTCCTATTGACTTGGTAATCATTGCATTGCAAAGTACACTAAATAAGCGTTTTTTTTATATATAATATCATTAGATTCAGAGAAAAATAACAGAGATAACGAACTTTGGCAAGGTGCCAAATACAAAACGCCGTAGCTCCGCCATTTTTTTATGAATCTTCGGTACTTCCAACTCACGTAATTTTATGCGATCCAAATGCAGTTTGTTGCTTTCACTAGAGCCTCGGCGTCCCATAGCCATGTAAGAGGCCGATTTTTGAATTTTTGCCTTAATCATAAAATAATAATATTTTAATGCTGAAAAAAGAATTCAAAAATAGTTCTCTATGTCAAGCTGTCCCCCGCCAAAAAAAAAGGAAATTCAAAATTCGGCCTTTTACATGGCTATAGGCTAGAGTTGATCTAACACTAGTATTTTTGGGGGAATATTCTGTAAAGAGCTCTGATAGTTGGGATGTACCGAAGACATACCAAAAAAAAACGATTTTTTTCGACTTTTTGGGGGGTGCCCCCCTCCCAATGGGGGAGCAAAATTAAAATTTATATATATAACGGAGTGCAATTCTTTACTCTATAGCATGCAAAAAGAATCAATCAGTTATCTCTAACCGATATTTTTTTATGATGTATAGAGTAGGGAAAGGTGGCCATTTTCCGGGACGGTCCCCTTAAGCTCAAATCTTAATCCAGCACATCTGCAAAACTAGCAAGTGTATCGTGCCAATCATGTCTTCTTATGTTTTTTAACATTGTCATCAACTCCATAGAAAACATGGATTCTAGTTGCCACTAACTTTGATTCTTACCAATAAAACAAGTTCTGGTATTTTAATGTCAGAAATGTGTGTGAAAATTTGTCTGTATATATACTAATAAATTGTGGGATATTCAAACTGCAGATGTAACTCAACAATGAAAAGAAAATCCCACAGAAAACTCCATAGCTTACAGATGCAGAAAAGGCAATATTATTTCCAGATTGGGATCATATTCCCATCACGTGCAATATAGTAATGTAATGAGAAAAAAAAAAAAAAAAAAAAAAAAACTTTTAATGACAAACTTCCTGGTTCTTTATACTACTGGGACTGCAAAACTGAGTGGAAATTTTATCACAATTCTCGCTTGCAATATCCTGTTAAAGCTACAAGCCTCACAATCACACATGAGAAAGAGATCTCACAGGAAACTCAAATATGAATTGATATTATGCACATTTTTGTCACTTATATTTAAATTGCCTATAAAATTCAAAGGCTGTTTGAAGCCATTTATATATTTTATTTGTATTGACACATTTAATATTTTCATGATATGATACTACTCTCTGTGTGTGTGTGTGTGTGTGTGTGTGTGTGTGTGTGTGTGTGTTGTGTGTGTGTGTGTGTGTGTGTGTGTTGTGTGTGTGTGTGTGTGTGTGTGTGTGTGTGTGTGTGTGTGTGTGTGTGTGTGTGCGTGTGTGTGTGTGTGTGTGGTGTGTGTGTGTGTGTGTGTGTGTGTGTGTGTGTGTGTGTGTGTGTGTGTGTGTGTGTTGTGTGTGTGTGTTTGTTTTTTTTTTTTTTTTTTTTTTTTTTTTTTTTTACTGTAGCAAATGTCTCATTATCAACATTACTGTGCAATATGAAAATTCCAGTGGTTACTGCCAAATATTATTACACAAATACCAGCTCTTTTATGTAAAACAGCAAATTTACTGATAATCACACTGACTTTTGCATCATCAGTGCAAATATTGTAGATTTGGAGTAAACTTTTAACACAGTATTAGCTTCAGTAATGTGTACAAAAGACACCTACATTCATATACAGATCAGAAAATATAAGTATACATAAAAACTACTAGTGAAGGTAGGAGTAGCTATGCAGTGGTGTTTAATTCCTTATAACAGTTTATATCATAATGAACATATCTTTTGCAGATTGAAGACAAGTCTGGTGGCACTGCTGTCCCCAAAAAGGAGAAAGCAACAACGCCTCCCGAATCCACCTTCAAGAAGCTTGCACCTTCAAAGAACAGATATACACTTCTAGACAAGGATGAGCTGTAGGTGAAGATCTCGGAGCCACCTATGACTGGGATGGGAAGGGGGCCGGATGGGTAATGAGTAAATTCAACATTAATGAGCTCATAGTGTCAAAAATAAATTCATAGAAGAAGCATTATATGGGTTATATGACTATATTATTGCATTATTGGATTATTCTAGACAATCAAAATTTGGATTGGGATTTTCAGCTCAAGAAACTTGTATTATTGAAAATTATGTTAGTTGCCATTTTATTTTTATAGAACTATCTTAAAAGGTTATATCTTATTAAATAAGCAATGGTGATCTTTATACAAGATATTATGATACAGTGTGACCTGTAATGAATGTTATTTTCCAATAATCTGCAATGCAGTCAGAAGTATTGAAAAAAGTATTTTATAATTATTAATGAAAGTTAAATATTTAGTAGTTCAGTGACCTTGATTGTTTTCAGTCCCTAAAGGATGTGGTATTTGATTTTTATTTCTGTAACTTTTGTTAAAAATCTGATGTTATTTGAGGAATTTGTAGATATAAATGTTATGAGTAATATGTTAAAGCCAGATTTATTTTTCTTCTATCATTGGTGTGCTTTTGAGAATTATGCATGATTTTGGTGTGTGAGGAATGTGTATGTGTATATGATGTGATTAATTAATTTCACAATGCTAGAGTGAAAGGTTTTCTTTTAAGTAGAACTTGGGTATTAACAGTAAAATATGAGAGATTTCAACTGCAGTCATCGATTGGAGTGTTTGGAAAATAGCAGCATTTATTTGTACTAAATACTGCAATATATCAAGTCAGTTATTATAAAAAGGAAATTAAAAACTTGGTTTTGTATGACATAAGTTGTTTTCTTGTTTTCAGGATGTATTTATATTGTAATGTTAGGCCTGATATGGCAGTTCTTGCCATGATTTTCTGAAAGATCATCCTATAGTTGCAGAGAAATTACTATTTTATAGTATGCACACTTTATTGGAATACATTGTGCAGTTTTTGTCTCCATGATTTTGGAAGGATATGTCAGTATGTAAACTTTAAACTCCATAAGTTTAGAGATCAATAAATGTCATATTAATAAGACATCACATAGCTATAGGGCCACTCAAATTGCTGAAAAATTGCTAGTTTTCATATTTTCTGCAGTTTCATAACTTAACAGAATGATCAAGTGGAAGCCAATTTTTTTATATATATATATAACAGCAGAGTTTAAAGTACTTTTGCATCTTGAAAGTTTGTTGAAGAGCTAACTAGTCTATTCTCTGGCTCAGAAGACCAATGAAATATCAGCAGAAGTACAGAAGAATAAGTGACTAATCTGTGTCCTACTTCCTTATTTAATTCTGAGTGATAGAAGTGTCTAAATTGTGTAGTAATATATTGTCAAAATTAATAACAGTGTCTTGAAATGATTGACGATAAACTGACTTTTCAACAGCTCTACAAAAAAGGAATGGTTTCTAATGATTGGCACCAAAGTCAAATATTACGTGTTTTGAGTGGCAAATTACCAGAATAAGATGTGTTGCTTTTTCATAGGTACTTAATTCTTGATATGGATAAGCATTACCACATGCCAATTACTTGAAGATCTAAACAAGTAATGCATAGGGATATGTTTTTTAAATGATCATAAGAATTACACTAGAAGAGAGAAAAATTTGTCTTTGGTGTTGTGTAGCAAGAGCCTCTTTGTTCCAGCCAGAGGATGCTTTAATAAAGTTATCTACAAGGTATAAATATTTTTCCAAACAATGTTTTTTCGAGTGAAAGAATCATTTTTGATGTGCTTTTCCATTTACCCATATTGTGTATGTGTCAAAGTATCATCTGTGTGCTGCACTGTGTACAAAACCATTCCATGGCTCATGATCTTCAGAGCTGTAAGTTTGTGTGTTCATCTTGGATAATTAAAATTTGATAAGGAGATGTAAATCAACCTCCCATTCAGAATGTCCTTTGTTTCATTTTCTCAGTACTCAACAGATAAGAGTATGATGCATCCTCACACATCATGAAGCAAATTAAATTTTTAGGATATCTATAGCATTTAGCTTTCTCCATTATCAATACATGCTGTTTAGAGGGATCTTGGAAGCTGGGGCTTTTGAAAACATTTCATCAATTCCCCCACTCTATGCATAGGCTAGTATGGGTATATACTTTTAGTTAGTCAAGACTAATGCTTTAAATACTCCAAAGAAGTCTTTTTCATTCAAAATCAATATGTGATGTCAAAATGCCAGAGTAATAACCATGAAACTAAATAAGACCCAAGATGATGCAAAACAATTAGGTCCCTACAAGTTGGGCCCAAAAATGTGACTAAACCTATAAATGATGTCTCAATGTCCTGTGGAAGGACAAAATACAGAAAATGTCTCAATTTAGAAATGGATAAGTTGGTTTACTATGAACAATACATTCAGTAAACGTTACTGCAGGAAGTGAGAACAGTCTCAGGGAGCAATGGGCGCAATAGTCTCTATTTCATTAACTAGTCCTTACCCCTCATGGGGACCCAAAGGGGTGAACCATTTCTCTTCATCACAAACTTCTCAGCTTACCATGGCCAGTAATGATTTATATCTTTGTTAGAGGCATTGAGAATTGCCTCTTTATCAACATGCTTCAATCCCTTGCCCGTTGTTGTCTGGAGGGGGGGGGGGGGCTGAGGAGACGGGGACTGCGGCCCAATGTAGGGTATCACTCGTAGCTTGGCCCTCAACCCCCAGCTCAACTTTGCATGGTCTTTTCTCTACCTCCCCCCCCAATTCCTTGCCCGTTGTTGTCGCAGGGATCTCCCCTGCCTAGGGCCTCAGCCCTCGACTCAACTAATTTTGCATGGTCTTTATCCCCTCTAGCTTTTGTTTCCATCCCTTCTCCATCCCCTTCTACTATCTCCTTCCTAAGGTGTGAGAGCCGTGCTGAGAGGATGAAAGGCTGACCTTGTGCCAGTCCTGAACAGCCTGCAGGAACTATGGGCAAGGTACTCCCGACTAATCTTGCCCTTACCTTTCACTAGCGATGGAGGTGGACCAGTTGATGCCTTTTATATAATCCAGGTTCCCCATGACCAGTAATGAAAATGTAATCCCTTTATTAGAGGCAATGAGGCTAGCCCCTTTATCAAATAGCCCCAACCAGGCTCTCCATTACCCACCCAAGCAGAGAATCAATCTCCAGAAGGCATTCCTACCCACCCAACTTCCTCAAATTCATCAACTCTACCCCCTCAACTTTCATCAAGCAACCAATCCTCCCTTATTACTACCTTGCTGCCTTATTCTCCATCATTCCGTAATACTCCCTCTTCAACACGTCCCCGACCATCCACCACCAATGGGACCAATTTTTCGTGATCCCTTCTACAGCTCCTTACTCAGGCAACACTCTTCTCTTTCAACAATGCCTCCAAAAACAAGTAGGTAGAGTCCCTTTCTATACCAGACGCGATCGCTCCCGTCTTGTAACAGTCAGATCAGAAACTGAATCTATAGCACTATCAAATTTAACTGATCATTCTGGCAACCCCATTCCTGCAGAACCTCATCCAACCCTTAATACCTGTACCGGAACTGTCTCTCTCTCCCCAGCAAACTGCCCAGTCGATACCAAAGATTGGTCAGACTGTGGAGAAGACTTATTAGGATGCCTCAAAGACCAAAATGTGAAATCAGTACATTGCTACACCATTCCTCCTAAAGGTCAACGAAAGAATCCGACCAACATTGCCAAAATTACCTTCCGTACATATGACCTTCCCTTACGTATCTACATCGGTGGACAATCCCTCCCTGTTTGACCATACCAACCCCCTCCCCGTCAATGTCAAAACTGTTGGCGCTTTGGACATCCTGCCAAACATTGCCGTTCCACAGACCGATGCCCCATATGTGCCCAACCTGGTCATAATCAATGAAACTGCTCAGCACAAACACGAACATGTGTTAACTGCGGCGGCCCCCATAATGTATTTTATAGAGGCTGTCCCACTTGCAAGTTTGAATCTGAGGTAGCAACTCTCAAATACAAAAATGGTCTCACTTTACGTGAAGCCAGACAGGAAGCATGTCAACAAGGTTTCTCTCATACTCCATACTCTAGTAACATCGTTCGCTCAGCCCCTCCTCCACCCCAAGGTCCCCATTTCCACTTCTACATTCTACCTCCCTCAGACCAATTCCTTTGCTACTCTAAACCCAGACACCCCAATCTCAACAGCCCCAACAACACCCCCTCTCCCTCCCTGCACTACCCGCAGTAGACAGACTAAACGTTCTAACCCTTCTTCCCCTACAGCACAATCACCACCTACCTTTACCTTTATTCCTGAGACACCAGTCTCCTCTTCCCCCCCTCATAAGAAAACCTTTATCCCACAAAACTCTCCAACCAATTCCACTGCAGAAACAATTACCTTCTCACAAAACTCTCCAACCAATTCCACTGCAGAAACAATGGATGACATCCAAAGTTATATGCTTGAGACACAAGATCCCATAACTCATGCTCCTTCCACACTTGAAGTGGTTGCCGATATTCATACCCCTCCTACTAATATTCCCCCTACACCCCTTCCTCCTACTCCCTCTCAACACAACCTAACCCCTCAATCCCGTCCACACTGATATCCATCCTCCAATACCCATCCTCCTGATATCCATCCCCTCGTACACCCCTTCCTCCTACTCCCTCTCAACACAACCTAACCCCCTCAATCCGTCCACCACGATATCCATCCTCCCAATACCCATCCTCCTGATATGCATCCCCCTCTTACTCAAGCACCCCTACACCCTTTCCTCCTAATCCCTCCCAAGACAACACATCCCCTTCAACTCCAACTATCCATCCTTCGATATTCATCCTCCTAACACTAATACTCCCCCACATCTACTCCCTCCCAACACAACCCACCCCCTTCAACCCCAACTATAGGCACATTCTCCCTCCCTCCATCCCCTCTATCCTTTGCACTCCCTCCCGGATACACACGAGAATCACATCATGGCACAACAATGCCCTTCTCCAGATTCCCTACCTCCTAATATCCCTCCTTTACACCCCCTAGCTCCTTCCCCTTCAAATTCCCCAACACGTATGCGTTATCATTCTAAATCAACTAGGATATAGCTCTCCTACATTGGAATATTCGCGGTTTCCGCTCTCATAGATCAGACCTACGTCATATCCTTGCTTCTTATAATCCATCTATTATCTGCCTCCAAGAGACTTTCCTCACACACCCTCCTATTCCAATTCCCAATTACCATTTTATCTCTTCCCCACACTCCCTTTATGTCTCGTCTATACTTATCCATCATAAAACACCTTATGTCATACCTCCCATACAAACTTCTGTCCCGTGCACAGCTATTCGCATCTTTCTTCGCCGCTGGATCACAGTGATTTCAGTCTACTTCTCCCCATCCCATCCCATTGACTTTACTGCCTTTGAACTCTAATTTCCCAACTCCAACCACCTTTCCTCATAGTTGGTGATTTCAACTGCCGCCACACTCTGTGGGGTGACTCTACCACCAACTCCCGAGGCCGATCTCTAGAACGCTTCCTCTTCACAAATAACCTAATTATTCTTAATTCAGATCGCCCCACACACTTTGACATGCGCACACAATCCTTTTCATGCCTTGACCTCTCTCTATGCTCTCCTACTTTACATCTAGATTTCCATTGGTCAGTTCTAGACCACTTCCCCTATAGTGACCACTTCCCAATACTCCTTTCTCCTACTTCATATGTACCACTTCCTAATCCTCCACGCTGGTGCTTTGATAGAGCTGACTGGCATACTTTCACTTCACTCTCTACTATACCTATCCCTCCACCCCCTTACCGTCCATTTCAGATATGCTACATTGTTTTACAACCACGATCCTAAGAGCTGCCTATACAGCCATTCCTCGAACTTCAAGACTATACTCTAAATGTGTTCCATGGTGGAATTCTGATTGCACCAAAGCGCTCCGCTTAAAACGAGCAGCCTGGAACAGCTATCGCTACAAACGAGGCACCCCTCACCAGCTATCAGCCCTTATTTCCTTTAAAAGAGCATCTGCCCATCTTCGCCGTACAATTAAAAACAGCAAAACAAATAGCTGGCAAAATTATGTTTCCTCAATTACATCTTCTACATCTATTTCAGCTGTTTGGCGACGGATCCATAAACTATCAGGCAAACATCCCCCCCATCCTGCACCCGTCCTCCATATTCGAGATATTCTCATCTCTGAGCCTGTCGAAGTAGCTAATGAACTGGGCAACTATTTCAGCCAGGTCAGTAGTGGCTCTCACCTTTCCCCACACTTTTCTTCCATTAAACCATCAAGGAACGCACCCCTATTACCTTCACCCTATCCTCTGATGAGTCCTATAATGCTCCTTTTTCTTCTTCTGAACTCAACGCTGCATTACAGTCGTGCCGCAACACTCATGAAGGCCCTGATGGTATTCACTATCGTATGCTCCGACACCTCCCATCTTCCTCTCTATCCTTCCTTTTAACTATTTTCAACCACATATGGACGTCAGGAAATTTTCCTTCTCATTGGCGAGATGCTCTATCCTACCTTTCTTAAAACCCAATAAATCAGGTACCCTACCCCAAGATTACCGCCCCATAGCTCTAACTAGCTGCTTGTGCAAACTACTAGAACGAATGGTTAACTTCCGTTTAATGTGGTACCTGAATCTCATAATCTCCTTTCCCCTTCCCAGTTTGGTTTCCGACGTGCCCGAAGTACAGCAGACCCACTTGCCCATTTCGAGACATACATTACATCGGCATTTGCACGCCATGAATCCGTATTAGCCATTTCTTTGATCTAGAAAAAGCATGATGACACACATGGCGATACCATATCCTCCAACAATTGTCCTCCCTAGGTTTACGTGGAAACATGGGTGTTTTCATTAAATCCTTCCTTTCTA